GGTTTGATTCCCAATAAGGATTTGCGAGTTTCTATTTAGTCTAACAGAGTTTGAGAAGTTATCAGTAACTTCAGATTGAAAGTCTTCGGAGGTTCAGAGTTTATTTGACGTTGGAGTTTATGTTTCTGAAAGTTTAGTGGTGAGAAAATTCCGACAGTTGAATATACAGCGGAGGAAATCAACACATGGCGTATAGTATACAATGAACTGACACAACTCTATCCATCACACGCTTGTGCTGAATTCAACTACATATTTCCATTGCTGCAGCAAAATTGTGGCTATGGGCCGGATAAAATTCCACAATTGCAGGAAGTTTCGGACTTTTTGAAGAGTGAGTTCATATTATCATGTTCGAAGAATTTGAACTCCAAAATGTTATTTTACGATGTTTCAGTTTCGAAACACAGTGGAGTAGCGGAATAGATATTTGGCCAGCAGCGAATCGCTATGTTTCGCTGAATAGCGATAGTGCGCTACTGATCATCTGTGATCACCATTTATATGATTGATCATTCCAAACACAGCGAATTAGCGGAATATTTATTTGGCTAGTAGCGAATAGCTATTCCGAATAGCTGCATCGCTATGTTTCGCTGAATAGCGATAACGCGCTATTGCGTATTTGATCACCATTCATATGATTGATTGATCTTGTGGAGTTCACATGTTTTACAACAAACTCTTATCTTACTGTGATAGTGTAAGACTGGAAAAGCATGAGATGCGATGTATTTGATAGCGACGATGCTAGCGATGAAAGGCAACTGAAGGATATAAATTTTCTTTTCCATCAAAAATTTATTCTTTATTCGAGGTTGTACCGGCTTCACATTACGTCCGGTTGCTGGTTTGTTGAGTTCACGCGATTTTCTGGCCGGTCTCGCCTTCCGAGTGTTTCACTCGACACAGTATATCCGACACTCATCTGTACCCAACTACACGCCTGAACCGTTCGGTTTTATTCGTGTCATTTACTTTTGATGCATAGATTTGCAATAGATCTTGTGATACGCGACCAAAAATTAAATATGAATAAGGAGATATCACAAAAATAAGATAAGATTACAATAGGATCCCAAATATTTGATTCAGCAATCATAATCACGATAAGAATCGATCAAATTATTAGATGAAGCAATAAGTTTATGCAATATATTTGAGTATATTTGATAGGTATTGATACATTTGATATGCAGCAATAAGTATATTTGATATTCAATCATCATGCTTGTTTTTTGAATATTCATGATCACAACGGAACTTATTTTCCAACTAAAAAGCGGTATTTTCCAAAGTAATGATAAGGACTTTTTGATCATTCACTGCCTACAAACAATGAAATGATAGACTGATCAATGATCAATGGTATACTGGTAATCTAGGTAATGTTCTACTTACAGTGATATCTGTCATGAACTCCTCGGTCATGTTCCGCTGTTTGCTGATGTGGGTTTTGCGCAGTTCTCACAAGAGATCGGTTTAGCGTCGTTAGGTGCATCCGATGAGGTTATTGAGAAGTTGGCAACGGTAATTTGCTCTTTTGATTTGTTCTCATCGTTCATATGAAAAATTTACTGGATAATATTGAAGAAACAACCATGCGAAGACTTGTCTTGTTTGTAGAGAATATTTATGTGAATTTGTTTATTGACATATTCGAAGGTGATCACAAACTGAGAAAATTCAGCTGTATTGGTTCACTGTGGAATTTGGAGTTTGCTTGCAACACGGCGAACGGAAAGCTTTTGGTGCGGGTTTGCTGAGTTCATTTGGGGAGTTGCAGTATGCACTCTCTGATAAGGTTTGTTATTTGACTGTTGCTTGGCTTTTTCGCTAATTGTAAATCTTTTCTGATTTGAGGCTGGAATTGAAATTTGCAGTTTCTTCTCGAAACTTTTATTATCTTCAAGTTAGATTTTAAAGCTGGAATTGAAAGTTAATCGATTTCGGATTGAAGTTTTGAATTCTCATTGAAAATTCACGCCCTTCGGACATTTGTTTTTGTAAAAATTTTCAGTAGATGCGTACTAATGGTTGTTATTTGTTAAAATGAAACTCTGATTTGCTTGAATGCTCATTGAAGAGGAAATTGGATGAATATAAAGTTTTGCTGACGGTTCTGAAATGCGTATTTGCAGCCGGAAATCGCACCGTTCGAGCCAGCCGTCACATCCACGACGAAATATCCGATAACAAGCTATCAACCGAAATACTTTGTGGCAAATTCTTTTGCAGATGCAAGGGCTAAATTAACGTTAGTGACGATTCTCGTTATGAATCCGTTTCTGAAATGTTTGCAAATGATATTCGAGATAAACATATCACTTACTTGTTTCATGAGCTGAAAAAACTTTATAGAGCATGGGCAGCCACGATTGAACGTCCGTTTCAAGTGCGTTACGACGCGTATACTCAACGAATTGAGATGCTTGATAAGATATCGACTGTTCGAAGACTTGTACGAGATATTAAAGGTTTTTGAACTTGATTTCGTTTTTCGTTTGGTTCGATTGTACTGAATCGTTTGAATGAAACCCATCCACTGTATTGTCTTCTTTACCTGGATTACCTGGATCGGCCAGGTTATCAAACGTTTGTAACGTTGCTGGCCACAATGCTCGCGTTTCCGTTCGCAACAATAACAAATTATTGTCAATTACTTTGAATATTTCACATTCATGTTCAAATGATTTTCTTACGGAATATTATAAATCAGTACAGAATATTAATTGTAAGCATTTTGAATCCGAGTTTGCGTATTTTTCAAGGTTAATCTAAAATATTTCGCGAAAATTCAGACGAAAAATAAACACAGCTTGTTTTCAGGTGAAATAGCCACTCTCGAGGATGCATTGACGAAAATGGAACCGATAATGTAGAGCGTTGTTAATATTTATATCTTCTGCATACCGATGTGACTATATCATAGACTTATGCAATATAGAACGTGACATTGGAATGGCGCAAGATCACTGAAATGACTGAAATCGTAAATACAATTACTTCGCTAATGACCATCATCATTGTTAAAGTTGTTATTTTTGAAGTCAACAGTATCATTATCATTGGTAATGCATTGTTTTGATGGTTCTGTTCGTTTGATCTTAACGATTACCGTTTTTTGCATTGTTTTCATCTTCAGTGATATATATTTTGTTTTCGACATTTGCCAAATTCTCATTATTTTCACAATTATGATTCCTAGCGATATCGCCTTCAATCACACATTCGTCTTTACCGTAATGATTGGTATCGTCAGTGAATGGATTGCAATACGGATTATCAAATAGCATGATCAATAGGTCTACTAACTATGCCAGCTGCTTGTAGTTTCATTGTTTTTTTTATCGAGTTTATTTCGCGAATTGTTCCTAACTAATGAGGAGATTTATGAGTGACATTTCGAGATACCTTTACTCGTGTCTTGCTTGCAGACATCCATGTGTAAGTATGTAAATCTTATTGTTAGTGGTTATTACCGTGCCATAATCAGTTCCATCATGTTATCGTCATCATAATTATCAGTTGCTGAATGTTTATGTTGTTCCCTTCACCCTACACCTCATGTCTGTCTTTTCGTCGATCACAACAAATTGCGATCACCTAACAAACGTACCAACATACGAATGAATATCAGTAAAAACAACCTCGACTGCATGCCTGGATTACCTGGAATGGCCAGGCTATCAAACGCTCGCAACGTTGCTGGCCACAATGCTCGCGTTTCCTGCACATTGTTTTAGCCTCAATTTACGCCACCCCGCTGACTAGGCGAGCAGGCCACGACTGCATGCATTAATGTCAAACATAGGGATATTTTGTGCAAATTTTGTATCGGATTTGTTTGTTCATGTCATATCACATCAGCTGTAGCTTGTATGACAATAATGTTATTATTTCTGTAGTTGATTTTCTGGTTCAGTAGATCTGCAACCATCGTGCGTTCATTCAAAAAATATTCTTGTTTTCTCATTCAGTGATCAATTTTTTTGTATGTGACGACCGTATACTTGTAAATATTACCATGCGTGTGTAATGTCAACAATAAATCTGAAATATTTATATAGTGTAATCATTGTCGATGTTATTATTTCCGTAGTATCAAGTTGATTTTCTCGAGGTGTGGAAATTCTTTTCGAGATGAAGTATAATATTTACAATACAACATGGACTAGTACCGATATGTTTCGGATGTCAAACTGTTGTAATCGTGAACCGCTTCTTATATTCATTTTGGCTCATTCATTCAGTGGAGGTCATCAATTTATTTGTGAGCGGATGAATAATTTCACTCATCAGTTATCTTATTAGGAAGTTGAGAAATCAGTGAACATTTCTAAATTTTATGAAAAATATGAAACTTATTGTGAATACGTTAAAAACGATTGATTCAATGGAATGGGAACGTTTTTAGATACGATAATTGAATAGTTAATAGTAATAATGTACTGACATTGAACGAAATTCAGCATTTCAGTTTTCATCTATCGAAAAGGAAATAGAAATGCACTTCAATTATAATCGTCACTCAACACAAGTGAATGAAATTCAGCGGATATATGTTATCAAAAAAATATTGTAGGGAGGGGGGAAATTTTTTGCGTGACAGTCAAAATTATCCACATTTCAGTCGAATATTGTTTGCTGTCGGTGATTTTGGTAGTGTTGGAGAGATGAAGAGTAAATTTTTTGGTTCGTTTATTCAGTGAAGGCCGTATGCTGAATCGATCCAGAATGAAATGAACTAAATTCAATTCAATTCGAACACCTTATGAAGGCAGGCAGGATCGCTTGACAATTCGTTTTCGGTTGAGCTTTTTGTTACAAATTTTACAATTTTTGCTACAAATTTTTTTTTGTTACGTCATCGTTACAAAGAAATCTCATTTACAAGTTTCTTGACATAGAGGAATCCTTTTCGGGATAAGGTATTTGCGACGCGATATGGAATAGTAGCCAGATGATATTTGGAGATGTCAAATTGTTATAGTCTCAAATCGCCTGTTGAGTTTTATTTCATGAAATTGACGATATGAAATATTCAAAATATTGGTAATAACAGCGACGGTGATAACGTAACAATCATGAGAACTATGACAATATGATAACAGATTAGACTATGACGTGTTTACGCGAAACTATTAACTGTTAAACATAAGGATAAGAGATGGAATAGCCGGAGAATGATGAAAATAATCAACGTAAATAACTGAAATTCGGAGAGACATTATTGGAGGTGCCGAAGAAATTCGGTTGCGACTGTCGGTTCATGGCTCGGGACGGTGCGAATCCGAGTGCTTTCTGCAGATTCTGACGGATGGTCATCGTGCAAAGGATGTAGAGGAAGATGAACGAGCAGTCTGTGTGATCGTCACCCAACAAGTTTCTGAACGTTTACGTACAGTTTAGGATCATTTACAAGTTTCTCGAGATACGGAATTCCTTTTCGGGATAAGATATTTACAACGCGATATGGAATAGTAGTCAGATATTTGAGATGTCAAATGCCAAATTGTTGTAATCTCAAATCGCCTGTTACTATCCATCACTTTATTTGTGATAAATTCGTGAGTAAATAAGTAATTTTGCTCATCAATTGTCTCAAGAAGTTAAGGAATTGGTGGGCATTTTACAATTTTATGACAAAGACAAAATTTATTGCTCAAAATCTTTATGGGAAACAAATTATTCACAAATACTATGAACTGAACTTAATCATAGAACACACTGTTACGAATGAAATTTGAGTTGACTGGAGAATAGGAAACGTTTAACGTTAGCAGAATGCGTTAAAACATACCGATGCGATAAGCCTTGTATCCAAGATATCGGCGTAAACGGTAATTTGGCCACAACACGACCTTCGAACAGTGATGAGAATGTGGACAGCAACGCCGTGAATGCAAAGCCGATGGCGAGCATACTCTTCATCTTGAACATACTCATGTCTCGATTGGTCGCCTTCAATCGCTCCTCTTCACGTTCGATCTTTCTTTTGGCCAGTCGATCAGCTTCTGCTGTCGTCTCCTTCTGCAGTTTATTATCTCATTACCATTATTATCATCACCACTCGAATTATTACTCGGACATCGAGTGGTTGTTTTGTCAATTGTTGTGAGCGATCGGCGGAATATTCATTTTATTAGAGTTATGATTATCTATTGGATTGATATTTGGCTACGATTAATTATGCAAAGTATTCACGGCAACTAATTAATTACTCGGTTGTGTTCGGTGGCCTGCTCGCCTAGCCAGCGGGGTGGCGTAAATTGAGGCTAAAACAATGTGCACGGAAACACTGCGAGCATTGTGGCCGGCAACGTTATAAACATTTGATAGCCTGGCCAGTCCAGGTAATCATTACCACTCGAATGAAAATCCCGTAACAAGCAATTACCTTCCTTTCCAATTTCTTTGTTTTTCGTTCCATTTCATTCTTCAGTCGTTTGTACTGATCACTTCTATAAACCAATATATACGTCAACGCCTCACCCACCAATGCTGTACAAACCGCAATAAAAATTATCAACAAACAGTCCATATACATCTTTTACTATTCGTTTCTCTTCCGCTTGCCCTCTGCAACAATATTTTCAATAATAAAAGCCATAATGAGCAGCAAATTATGAAAATAATAATTGTAATATTATAATTGTAATTGTAATTGTAATTTTACTATTATAATTGTGATCATTTCGAAAACTTCAACGAGTAATTTGAAATATTCTGCTGCACACCGCAGTATGTTGTTAACAAAAAATATTTCTATCACATTACACAAAATTAAAAACGATTCAAACCATTTCTCATTTCAATTCCTCGCAAAATGAATAATGCATTCGGAAGTAATTTCAGAATTGCCCGAACAACTCAACAGAAAACAGAAAACGTAATCGAAATTTGTTTCATCTCAAAAACTGATCGAAAAAATTCAATCAATGAATTCAAAATAATTTCTGAACAAAGCAAAACCAATTAAGATAACATCCAACGATTACGGGATATCGTATGACCATTGCGATAATCAAACCGAATTGATAAAGAAGCCAACGATAAACAACAAAATGATTTATTGTTAATAACCAAAAAACAACTCAACAATGAAATTCACTGTAACAATAACGATAATATCAATAGATAACAAAGACAAGCACACAACACCGAGCTTACTGTTGCGCTATATCATATGAATAAATTTAGAATCACACTCTTTCAGCCCTCACACTATCATATGCACACTTCTTCACATATAATCACTAATTTCACCGTTCCATTTTGACCTCTCAACTGATATTAATTTGCATTATACACGAGCAAAAAGCGAGTTAAGTTAAATACGAGTGAAGACTTCTTCTTATAAGTGAAGACTTCTTAGTTCTTCATCTTCTTAAGCAATAATATTTGCTATAGTTCTTAAAAGAAATAATATTTGTTATAAGAACGGTTCGATATTCAGTTCGAAAGCAGACACTGGTAATGTCAGAGCGAATGCATTCAGAACATCCGGATTTAGTACACCCATCCTGCCGATCTCCTTCGATCCGATCATGATCGCAGCACACCGTCCATCCAAATAAGTGGTGTCCTCAATTGGTTCATACCGATATCCGTCCTCACCCGCCAACCACTTCACACTCAACAGTTGCATCACTCGATCCACCAATCCATGGATCTTCTCAAATCCTGACGATTTACTATAGAATATCGCTGCTAAACGTCGCTCATTTCGCGCACCCACCTCTGCAATATTTGTCGATTTTCACACTAAATCAAGGTAAAATTATTCGACAGCTATATGACATCAAAGCTCATCCACTCGCCTGCTTTTGACTGATAATAAGGCAAGCCAGACCCATTTCAATAAACTCGTATGCGGTACCTGAAGATCGTCTGCACCTCTTCTTCAAGCTAAGGGTAGTGGATAACTTACGAGTTTGTGCATTTGCCTCTTACGCGTTATACATACACATGAATAGCAATACATATGTATCCAATAATCAAAGGGTACCCAAAGGAATTTCCCGTCATAATTCATTACTAGTATAATACTCATTACTGGTACAATACCAATTCCCAAGGGAAATAAAAAAACCACTCGGGAGACCTCCAATAAGATGGAAAGACGATATTACAAAGAAATTGGGTAACACCTGGCAAAGGAAAGCAAGATCAAGGACCGAATGGAAACGCATTATGGCTAGCAACGTTACAAACGTTTGATAGTCTGGCCAATCCAGGTAATCCAGGTAACGTATCCACTAACTCAATTATTTAAACAGTCAACAAAGACTAAAAACAAACGACGTGAACTTAAAACAAATCGAATGTATACAAGAAGACAAACCTGAATTTTGATCCTTAATAACAACATCCTGTAATTCGAACAATTTCAAAGGTAACGGCATATCTTTGTTTGACGCGATTGTCTTCAACAGACCAGGGAATAGCGAGGTGCGAGCTACCTGAACAATAATACAAATTGCATTAATACATACTACTATGAACCTTTCTCTTAACATCCCTCTGCGACAGTAGGCAGGCATATCACATAAACACTGTTCATGAGAAATTCCTTTCTGAATGTAATCATTGATTTGTTATTTAGAAGTGTGCAAGATAATGATTATAATGGTAATATAAATGATAGTGATCGCAATGACAAGACAAACCTGGAATTCGATGGTTTTTGGATTCGCAATCTTTACAGCTGATTCGAGACCATTTGCTTTACATAACTTTGTTGAAACATCATCACTACTACACTGAAAACAAATAAAAGGTGGCGTTTTGTCTGGTAATATGACATTAACATAGCAATAATAACGGTTACGACATTTAATAACAGACAGTACAACACAACAAATAACAAATAATTAACAATAATAACAAATAACTAATTATGACAGACGATGAATTACGATAGATGTTAAATAACAATTACAAATAATAACAGACAATTAAGTAAAAACAATTAAAAAACAATTAAACATAAACAATAACAGTTATGACAGACGATGAACGACATTTAAAAGCACAAGAGTGGCTGAAACGAACCAGGGCGAAGTTGAGAACTTCTGTCCATCCGGCGTTAGCGACCTCGTGACGTAATAAATCCGAAAGTTTATTCAAATCAAACGCTTCCGCGATAGTATGCTCTTTTGGAAGTTGGTGCTGGATTCTGTTGAAACCATACGCTATCGCCACATCTTCGGCGATATCACATTCGTGTAATATATCGTGTCGGGTCGGTGGCACTATCACCTTTACTTTCATCAATATCATTATCATTATTACTGTTATTGTTACCATCATTATCACTAGCATTGTTAACCTAATCATGAGTAAACCAATCTTAAGTAAAACAGCACTCGTATACCTAGAATTCAATCAAGAAATAACAATGAAATGTTTCATGAAACGAATACTACAATCGAATCGAACTATGCCGGTGAAGGCAGTGTCAAAGCATCAACTATGCGCAGTATAGGTGTACGTGAATGAATCTGACAAATGCGTAAATGTATTAGAAGAAAAAAAAAGACATACGTCGATGGTTTGATTGTCTTTCTCGGAGATATTCGCCGTTAAGGACATTCTCGTTAAAAGTTGTGACATTTCCTTTGCATCCAACTTCAGTCCAATCTTCGTGTTGATTCGAGCAACGTTCACCTCTTGATGATGATACGCTAACTCCTTCAATCATACATTTAAATATATCTGTAACAATCAATCCCATAAGAATAACACTCTCAACTAGATAATTTTCTGTTTCATATTGTCAAATATCAGCGATACCAATAATAGTTCCATGATTAATGACTTCAATAATTAACGAATTTTTATCATTCAATAGGTTATTTGGAACTACAAACCCAACACCCATGTGAACAATAATGAATAAACAACTAAGCCAAACAAATAAAAGCCCGGTACAGATCGCTCGATAAAGAAACTGCAACATACCGGATATTGCACAATGTTTCCATTGACGTCCTTCACATCGACCGCTTCAACTCTAAACAATTTTATCACATTTCCAACCAAATTCATAATCTATCATCAAGTTACATATCAATATTCTCACCCAAATTCATCCAATAAACCTCTAAAAACCTCTTTCAACAACATCAATAATAATGGAAATAAAAAAGAAACATTAATAAAAGCAAATGAACCAACGTGAATGGTTTCTCACAATACTGACTGAACAACGTAACAACCGTATCTAAGACGATCACTGCCTTCTGCAGGTCTGTTGCTGTTGCTTCGATGAATATATTACGTGTACCCAAATGAATTTTTGAATGCTCACCTGCAAATGTCACACATTTATTTAGTCAACTGACAATCACAATAACTCATTTTCTGTTTAAACCACTAACTAAACCACAAATACCAGTAAATTCTAAATTCTTCCCTGCTTCAGACTGTTTTTCAAAAATAATGCCAATACCTCATCAAACCATTCACTTCGTGGAAGTCTGATGTCGATTAATGATTTGGAAATCGTATCTATTCAAAGGCTACTGTCCCACAGTGCCCAATATCAAATATAATTTTTTGAAATTCAAAAATATCGATAAAAATAACAATAATAATAACCGTTGATAATTGGTGGCATAGACAAGACAATACCATTACTGTCTCTGATAACTGGATAACGCTCTTTACCAGCAATAATCGGCAAGTATGGCTTCAGATGACTTTCGTTCTGTAAAATTATTTAACTTATAATCACTGCTCAACAATCACTCGATTAATCAAATTCTATTCATTATTACACACTTCAATAAGAACATAACCACTCAATTCAACAAGTACAATAAACAAACCGAGTAATGAACCATCAACTCCTCAGCTGTAAATTCCTTCGTTTCGTTCAGTGGTTTGAAACGTATCTCATTTGGTTTCTCTGCACCATAATAAAATGGTCCTGAAACAATATCAAAGAATGTTAATACATATAAACAATTACGATGATAATAACAACACAGTAATAATGTATAACAATAATACATAATAATACGCTAATAACAGTACTATACAATAAAGTAATATACTATAATGACAGCAACCTTGAACAGTATCCAGATCATGAGTGCCAATCGCCACTAAGGTTCTTTTACGGCAAATGTTTTGATGGAGTTTGTCTTGTAAGTCAATAAAGGATGCATACGAATCTTGATCCAGTTTCACATTTCTTAATATTGCACCAACTACATACGGACGTACTTCTTTGGTTTCTGCTTTCACGATTATCATCTCATTTTTATTATTTCGTCCTTTCAGCAACTCGTATTTCGGTTGATTTATTCTAAATTTGCATTTTCATTATATTAAAATATTCTAAATTTGCACTTTCATTACATTAAAATATATTCTTATCGAGGTACCTCATATTTAATATGCTTATGAAAAGAATATGTTTTAGCGGTACAAGCCTTAGCGCGAACTTTGGGTGAGCGTCAGCTCCGCGTTTCAGGCTTCAGTGTGGACTCAGGGTGAAACTCAATTTAAGCCCCGTGATGAAGCTCAGCCGAATTCAGGTTAAACCCTAACTTAGGGTTGGTGTGTAGTTCGGTCTTCTCCCATAAATACGGTAAATATAAGATTATCTCCCTAATGATAGTGATATCACAAAGTAAAAATAATCACGAGTGTAAATCTCAAAGTAAAACTACACTTACTCGCTCAAAAATATTCGCAGCGCACGAGAAAGACCTTCCACCGAAAGCAGGTCATATCGATTCGCAGGTAGTTCTATCTTATAGACGTCTTCTTCACACACATCTTCATCTGCCTTCACCTTCTTTTTATCACCTCGTTCCTTTTCCAATGCTATTCGTTCATTTGTCTACAACATTTTATTACTATTATCATTACTATTATATATTTTACTATCATTATCTTTAATATATTTAGTTACTTGAACTCAACAAAATAAAAGTTAGCTAATGAAATGAAGAACACAGAAACTGACCACTTCATCCAACTCGAGACCATAATCGAATAACAATTCATCGAATTCTTTTTCAGCTGCAATTTGAAAATATACGCTGATTATCAAACTGATTTTAATTCAAAATTAACATAAAACTTGTACTCATTTACGTAATCTAATTTATTTCGAAAAATAAAGAATAACTTCAAGGAGTTAAACTGAACCAATAACTTACAATAAACTTTCTCGAAGTGCTTGTCGATTAAAGTTTTTCGAATACCAATAATTGGCATTGTAACGTTGTTGTTTTACCCAAGATATTGCGGTCCTCTCGAATGAATCTACAATGAATACGAATCACATCGAATAAAGACACATCGAATGACAACACACAGTCTCGTTTCGTATCAAAAACCACATTTATGACATAGATATGTGCCTGATGAACAAACATTCACGTCATCTCACATGTACGATCGTTCTCGATGCCCAATTACAAATTCGTTTACGATTGAATTGGTAAGTGACATTATTGTGGCAATTAACGACGTCCGCTTATTGGAACGATGGTGTGGGGCGAACTGCAAATGGGCGTGAACCAACGCAGCATCAAAACAGAGAACAATGCGCATCAGCGGTTATAATGGGAAAAGAGCGGAGAAGAACAATTGAGGCGATTGAAGCATCGTCAGCAGCATTGAAATACCGTATTTTCCGGACTATAAGGCGCACATAAAAGCCCTTAATTTTCTCCAGAAACGACAGTGCGCCTTATAACCCGGAACGTCTTATACATGGATTAATTCTGGTTACTGACCTCGAAGTGAATGGTTAATTATGAATGCATTCAATAAAGTTTGTCTGACTGACTTATCCGACTGTTTTGTTTCCCTTAATGCGCCTTATAGTCCGGTGCGATTTATGTAAGAAAAATGTTCGAAAATAGACCATTCACTAACAGTGCAGCTTATAATGCAGTGCGCCCTATAGTGCGGAGAATACGGTATGTGAGATATTCCGAAAGAAATTTTATGATGAATCAATCATATGCAATGTGCTAAATTTTGGGGTGTATAAAAAGTTTCATCAGAGACGTTCTCAGTTTGAAGATCGTGTTGAATCCAGGTATTTTTTCAGAGATCACCTCTCTGAAGTGAGAATTTAAATGAAATTTAGTGACATTTGCGCATATAAGGCGTGATTAGGGTATGATAGATATCTCGTTGGTAAAATCGAAGGAATAGGTTTCGAAGCGCATAGAAAACTCTTTCGGAAACCTAAGCTTTCTGTTTGAAGATCATTGTAAACATTTTTTAGCGATCACCTCGCCGGAGTGAGAATATTCATAAAATTCATCGCATTCTCGAGTAGTGCTGTAATGAGTGAGAATATCTCAACATTGAAAAACGGAAAAAAATCAAGTATATCTAGTTGACATAGAAGACTGATCTAGAGTCTTTGGTGAGATTGCTTACAAAACAAAACCGCCTATTACTGGTTTCTCACTCATCAACGGAACGTATCTTTACCATCCAAAAACATCGTTTCGGCCATAATATACTACTGTTAAAAGTCTAAACCAGCGATCATCAAATTGATGTCCGTCCCGTACCAATAGTATTCCGTCACCGGCAGATATCCAATGAGTTTGTAACTACTATATCCATCTAATAGTGAACTTATCTTTGTGCATAAACTTGTTTGCAGTAAGTTCGCGTTTTCAGAAATCCCAAAAACAAAACGCCGACCCACATTTCCACTTAACTTTCTCAACACTCAACAAATGTGGTTATGGAATACATCCTGAATCCCCCCCCCCTCATTTGTTATGACAATCAGCATAACTTGACAGTCCCGGTTCCAACCAACTTTCACAATATTCTTCGAAACGACTCAGCTTTATCTACCAGATGGTATTTAACATGTCCGTGAATCATTCCTCTCGGAAGATCAACTAAAACTTGATGAGCCATCAAAATTCAACCCTACCAATTCACATCTTGCTGGTGAGCCAGACAAAACTTCGGCGGTGAATTGCTTGTTCGATTGCATTGATCATACACAAGGAAGTGTTTATTACTTTATCTATGTAATTATCCGGAACAAAAGATTAAAGAAGATATAACAAGTAGTGTGAAATGACAAAGTGTCGATAAAATAAATGACAAATGCAGTAAAAGAATTATTTGACAGAGGACACATCGAAATAATGCAATCAAACCAAATGCAACAGATGAGATAATACAGCGGCAAACAGAGTTCACAGAGTGAAAACCTTGAGTCGGCAAGACTGAAATCGGTGTATGACAAGAAGCATCGTACAACAATAAACAACAACAAGCACTGTGCGGCTTATCTGGCAAGATTTTCGTAGAAATGTTCAGGAAATGAAACAATCATAGACATAGAAACGATAGATGAATAACTGAATGATATGAGATATAAACAAATGGATATTGGGATTCGAACAGATCAGATCAATTGTGATCATGAACTGAAGAGAGCAATGACAACTGAATTATTGAATTGATCAAGGCGAACACTCATCAAATGATGTTATACGATGACAGTGATAACAAAAGCGGCGATTGTGCATCATTCAAAACACGATAATACTGAAAT